CCGGTGTGCTACGCTAGGAACTCTTCATGAGTCAAGTCTGCAAACTGATGGATGCTTAAGTTGTAAGTCCGATTGCCTGCATTGTTGAAGTTTTCAATGAATTCAAGATTTTGCTTGAAAATCTTAAACCGCATTTTCTTCTCTTTCTGGTCCTTATGCGGTCATGCTGAGCCATCCATTGCCCGTGTCTTTTTGCAATGGAAACTTCATTAAACGTGCTGGATGTTGCATGTGATGCCCAAGTGCCCAATACCATTAACAAGGGAATAAAGATATTTTTGTTGATTGTAGAAGCCATAGTTAATTTGTAGTTATGTAACAGTGGTTTTTGGTGAATGGATAAGTTGTGAAAAACAAAGACACTCATTTTCTAACCACTAGTCTTATGGTTGGATGAAAAAACTTTAGTCATCTAGGTGGATAATCTAAAGGTCTTGTGTTTAAGTCCTATAAAGTGGTCACATACCACATTTTTTACTTATTTGATCTATTGGGTTTGTATGCAAACTGATTCAGATATCCTAATTATAACTTGTTCTTTCTTAAATAGCACGTATATTTTGGAGGAGGAACTTATTTTCTTGGCATGTGTCACGAAATGCAACAAAAAGTAGGCATTCATATGTATATTTTATCCTGTGAAACTTAGCAATCTTTTGTTCGTTTTGTTGCTTCTGAGTAATATAACAAGTGTTCTTTTATTAATGGTGGTGGAGGGCGGCTGCCAAGCAACATTACAGCGTGTGTCTTGTATATGACTAATCTATTGCCTTTTAATTAGAAAATTGAGAATATAGAAGTGGTTGAAGAAATTTCACTGCGTTTCCCATTTGGAAAAAAGTCTCTTGAAGAATCACAATTCACAAAAGTACTACATACCTTTGTTGAAGATGAAGGCTTTAGAGAAGAGAATAACTATGGGTCCGTTTGTTTTAGTATTTTGGATAGGATTTTTGATATTTTTATAGTTGGGTGAGAATAATGAGATAAGATTTAAAAATTAACAAAAACACCCCTCTAGGTTGCTAATCTATGAAACACCCCAATATGTAAAATTTTTATAAAATGACAAAAACACCCCCACCCACAATTGCCAGATTCTGGCTACCATCGCCAGAATCTGGCGTTACGGTGCACGATTGACCGGATCTGGCCGTTCGTGTGTCGATATGGCCTTTTCTGGCCAGATCCGCCATGGATCTGGCCAGATCTACGGCCATTTCTGGCTGTCGACGACCAAATCTAGCATCTGCGATGGCCAAAGATATGGCCATCATTAATGGTCAACGCCGTCGTTGACGACTAGCTACGACCAAAGATTTGGCCATAGATCTAGCCGGAAAGTGATAGATCAGCACACTACCGGCCAGATCCAGTCGGTAGTATGCCATTATACCAGATTCCGATCACCTTTCGACGGTTGTGGCCGAAATTTGACAAATGTGGGTGGGTGGGGGTGTTTTTGTTAATATTTAAACTTTTTCTCAAGGTGTTTAGTTAAATTAATAAACTTAAAGGATTTAAAATATTATTGGAAAAATATAATAGTATTTTGAGAATAATGAAATAAGTAGTTATTTTGAGAATAGGATTGGGAATAAGATATGAAATATTAAAACAAACAGTTATTTTGAGAATAATGATTAATGCTTCCAGTTTGTACTACAAAAAGATCTTTTGTTGCCTTGTAATACTACATTTTGCTCTAGAAATAATGAAGCTTCTTGATAAATTTACTTTTGATTATTTTATAATAATCCTATAACAAATTCATAGTATCTTTTGTAGCAATAGAATATGTATACAGTAAAACTTCTCTATAGTAATACTCTATATAGGAATAAACTCTACATAGTCATAAAAAATTCAATTCCCAATTTGGGATAGTTATAAATAAGAATAAACTCTACATTGTAATAAGTTATAATTTTTTTAATTCCCGTCTTAAGAAAAGTTACCTCTACATAGTAATAATTATCTGTATATTGCAAAAAAAAAAAAAAAAATGTTATGTTACATTAAAAGTTTAAGATAAAATAAAATATTTATCTAAAGTTATTTGAGATAATGATTTATGCTTTAGAGTTGTTACTACACCTTTTAACTTGCGGATAGATTACTCGCTAGCATGAACATTTTCTTGTTGAAGCCAAATATTTCTAGTTTCTCAAGTATGTTTAGAGCTTCTTAGCATAAAACTTTTTGTATTTCCGTACTATCATCCTCATGATTATTTCATTTATCTTCTTGTCTAATTGTAGTAATGATTTCTTTTTTAGTTAAAACATACATGACTTATTGCTCATTTGGATGATTGAGAAAGACATTAACATCCATTCGATTAGTGTAATGAAGTTGTCGAATCTGATCACTAAATTCTACAATGAATCTTTGATTCTCCTCATCCACTTCATTTGTAACTTGCAATTCATCGACATTAGGGATCCTAATTTGGTAATGATTAAAACAATTGGCAATAGTATGTAGCTTCACATCAATTTGTTGCATAATTTTGTAATGATAAAAACAATTGACAATAATATATGGCTTCACATCAATTTGACCATGCAGCAACTGTATTTACAATTCCATCAATGACACTTATCTTTGTTGGTTTCAAGACACGATTTTCTATCAGTTTTAAAAGTAGGCAATTAAAGCGCTGAATTGAAATTTTAATAGTATTAAAACATCAATTGAAATCCTAATACTGTACTACTAAAACATGAATTATAAATAAATTTTTGTTACCACACCTCTATTAAGTTATAATATCCTCATAGTAATAAAATTAATTAATCCCACCATTATAACTATAGAGAGGTTTTATTGGATATATACAGCTTTTTTCTTATTTGGTGTCAACAACATAATAAAGCCACATGTAAATATTGAATTTTGTAATTTTGTTAGTTTAATACATGTAAGCGGTGAATTGCGAACAAATAAATCAACTCACCGGAAAATGTTCAAATGGTTTTGGTTTAGGCACAAACAGAGTTTCCTGGGAACGCAATATGAATTATAAACTTAAGCATTAAGATGAACAAAACACTTGGCTCTAAAAATTACATAAGCACAGAGGTGTAACCAAAGTATACTCAGTGGGGTCTAATACCCCGCTGAAATTATTAAAAAGAGATACATTTTTTATAATAATTAACAATTTTAACTCCACTAAAATTTATATTGACTACACTAAAATTACTTGTATTTTATTAACTCAACTAAGATATTTCTATATTTTATTAATCTCGAGATTAAAAAATACCCATATTTTTTTTTTCACGTTTTCTCTCTTCTTTATATCCTTCCCCTCTTCACTTATACTCTCTTCTTCTTTTGGTTTGATTAATCAAGAAAAACTACTTTTTTGGAGATCAATTGTTAAATGATTGTCTTATTATATATATATATTGAGAGAGAAATATTTGATGGCATTATCAATGAAACAATTATGCAACGTTTTTACAATATGAAAAATCATTGAAGATAATTATAAATTTAATAATTTGATATATGTAACTTTTAAAATTAATTTTTAAGATTAAATTTTTTTATACTTATTATTTCAATATATATATATTTTTTTAATTTATCAACTTAGACTTTTAACCCAACTAATTAAAAATCCTGACTATGCCCTCACAGTGGAAGTTTGGAACCTCTATCAATCTCAGCATCACAGTGAGTTAATCCACCAGCAAGGAATGACTGAGAGCAAGAAATCCACCGAGTAGAACTGGCAAAGTGTGAATACACATTGATTGGATAAGTTAAAGCAAATCAAAAGATGAAAAACAAAGTCAAAGTCAAGGTTATTGTCTCTTTTTGTGTAATTTGCGGGCATAATTGTCGTGATCAACATGCAAGTAAATAATTTATCATTTCGAGTTTGTTTTGCTTTTTATATTATATTCCGTAAGTTACGCCAAAGAAACCCAATAACAGTAAGTCTTTGGGGAAAGTTGGGACTTAATTTTTCTATGTTCATCTACACAATCTAACTTGAAATAGAAGATAGTTTAAATCAATTGTTTGACAAACCCAAAACATTTATTTGGAATACAAGATTTTTTCCAACAAGAAGCTGCCCGAAAATGGAAAAGGATGAATCATAGAAGAGTAAAGACTTTTTTCCACTCAAATAATGGTTAATGACTTTTTTTTCACCCATATACTTTTAAAATACTATTTTACTATCCAAATTTATATTTTGTTTCTGATTCTAATATTGTTGCGACCTCTCACTACTACTATTTTCTTCTCTGATCACCACTCACCAAAACCTCTCAAACCATACTCATGTCAATATCGTCAATCGCCGACAATCGAACGATTAGGGTTTGCGCAGCCGTCCTTTTTAAGTCAAATTCTAATTAATCCCAACCATCAAAATCTAACATTCTACCACCAAAAGACTCATTAGCCTCTTCTCTTCAAAAGCCCCAATAATCTAGACTAAGTTTGTTTTTTGTTCACCGCTGGAATATAAATTTAGGTAGTAAAGTAGTATTTTAAAAGTCTGTAGATAAAAAAGTATCATTAAGCCATTATTTGGGTGGGAAAAACCCGTTAACTCATCATAGAAAGTGGATTTATTATGCCACTTAAGAAATAATGAAGAGGTCAACATTGTCAAAGTTAAATTAGTCATGCCAATTGACTTATAATTCAGCTTTTCCACATTGTGAATTAGAGGCAAATTGACTTATGTTTCTTCTGATACATTACTGCAAAAGAGATTGAATTTTCTTTATTCAAATGCATGCCGGTCTATCTTTTGTTGAACTTCTTACCTATCAAATGAGGTCGGGATTAAAGCTTTGTTTCTTCTGCTCAACATGAGACATCAATCAGGCTAGTAGGGCTTCAAAAAACAATATAGACAAACTGATATATTTAATTTTTCTCTTAGATTCTGGCACCTGCGCGTGTGCATGCAGGTTTATTTAAGTTTAAACTTGGATAGCAAATTGTTGTAATCTTAATATCAGAGATGAGACAGTGAATTCAATATTCCATTGTAAACAAGACATTAATTAATACAAAAATATGCATCAGCAACATATTGATGCAACACTATAAAAACATGAAAACAGCTCAGTGGCTAATAGTTGGTCTCCGTAAACAGAAGATCAACATTTGACACGCTAAAGGATAAAAATTATTGGCGAACTTAAGAAGTTTGGATGTCCTCCCTTTTAAAAACTTATGCAACTGGATAGGAAGCGTCTTTTGCAAGGCCGCACAGACCTTCCGCGGCTTCAACATCTCTCTTAATCCTCATATAACCATTTTCACCCCAGGTCTGGCCCCACGAATTCTTGATTAACCAGTATTTGGTCCCATCATCCGCTGTTCCGTATCCAATAATGGTAACAGCATGGTTTAAGTTTGTTCCACAATTTCCATCAAAAACACCGCCATTGTAATACCTGAAACCGGAAGAATCGATAGCAACTGAGACTGGCTGCTTGGCTACAGCTTGTAGTAATGCCTCCTCATTATTGCTTGGCACTTTTTCATAACTCTGTATTTGAGCAGCAGGGGCAGTTTCCTGTTGGGTATCACAAGTTCCTTCCGTTGCCTGGTACGGGTAATTCGTTTCGGAGGTGAGACCTTGGTTATTTATAATATAATTATAGGCGTTTTCCATCATTCCACCATTGCATCCTTGGTTATTACCATTTGTGGAACAATCCAGTAATTGTTGCTCTGAAAGTGAGATCAATTTACCGGTTTTGATCTGGGTAATGCCTTCCATGGCTGCCACCGCAGAAAATGCCCAGCAACATCCTATAAAAAAATCAAGTAAGCAAAACCAAAGATAAGGGTATTGAAAGCATACAGGTAGAATTAGAGACGAGTGTTCACTTACCACAATTGCCTTGGTCTTTCACCTGAGTCACGGCATCTTTTTCTCTCCAGTCCAGGCTAGTGGGAACTTCAGTAAGGTTTTCATACCCGAAGGATGTTGTGGCTGTTCGTGATTGTGAGGGAACTGGCTTGTATCCCGTGCGTGAGGCAAGGAACTCGTCATCAGTTAAGTCTGCAAATTGATTGATGCTTAACTTGTATGTCTGATTCCCGGCATTGTTGAATTTTTCAATGAATTCAAGATTTTGTTTGAAAATCTTAAACCGCTTTTCCTTCTCAGCCTGGTCCTCATAAGTGCGGCCATGCCGAGCCATCCATTGCTCATGTCTCTCGGCAATGGAAGCTTCATACAACGTGCGAGACATCGCAAGTGATGCCCAAATGCTCAATACCATTAACAGGGAAATAATGATATTTGTGTTTAGTGTTAAGGCCATGGTTAATACACAGATGGTGTAGGATATGTAACAGTGATATTTGCTGAATTGTAAACTGTGAAGAAGAAAGACACTTGTTCCCTTAAATAGCACCTCAATCTGACGTGGATTTTATGAAGGGACCCATTTCTGGCATTTTCCACGAAAAAGTCTAGTGCCCTGGAAGAATGCTAGTGTGAAACTTTGAACCTTTTTCTTGGGTGGTTGGAACTGAGAAATATAGTAAGAGTTTCTGTGGCTGATGCAAGCTTCCGAATACGAGGAAAACAACGAGCTTTTTTTTGGGTTACAGTTTACATCTTTTTATGAAGCACATGAAAACAAGAAGAAAAACACAACAATCCCCAAGTTGACTCCGAGAAGACTCATAAAATGATCTCATGTTGATGACGCGATTATACGCGTAAATTCTTCAAAAGGGAAAATGCAGAAAAATTTCATCAACGGCTTCTATATTTTCATTATCAAGCTACCTTTTTGTCCTCCGCAAGTTGTTGCCAATTAAAACACTAAGTTTTGTCATTAACACGACGCCCCCTTTTGAAGAATTTACGCGTATAATTGCGTCATCAACATGAGATCATTTTATGAGTCTTCTCGGAGTCAACTTGGTGATTGTTGTTGTTTTCTTCTTGTTTTCATGTGCTTCATAGCTACCTTTTTGTCCTCCGCAAGTTGTTGCCAATTAAAACACTAAGTTTTGTCATTAACACGCCGCAAGTTTGGACTACGTACTCTTTTCCATTTTCATCTGAAAAAAACCAGTTTCAGATTAAGGTTAGTTAGTTCGTATTAATTTGCCAAATCGAAGAGGGGCATTAATTGGGGGTGCCAAGTATTGTCCCTTCAGCTAGACCTGCAGCATGAAACATGAAAATAACTCCAAAAAAACAAAGCTCCTGCTTGTTATACTATTCTGCATCGCTATTCTTTATCCTAATTGGATTAAAAAAAAGATATATATTTGTTTACTTATTGGGCTAATCCAATATGAAAATTAATCCAACTCAAATAAGATTTTTCGTTAAAAAATGGAAAGAGGGTGGGACTTGTTTCCATGTTATCTAATTGAAAACAATTTTCTTTCTCTTTCTTATTTTTCTCTTCTTCCAATCTAAAAAAAATCCACTCAAGACTGTTGATTGTATTGCTTAAAGAAGTAAACAAGACCAGAGTGCAAGTTTATAAACATGAGGGTTGTGTTTGCAAAAGAATAGTTGTAAACTCATCAGAAACGATGACGTTTCAAGAGTGTGAGTGTTTGTATAAAAGCTCAGCTGTAAGTTTACTAATTCAGTTAAGTAAAAAGGAAAACAGAATTCGTTTCTCTTTGAAACAGAATCCATATTCAATCTTGCATTGTTTCTTGATTGATTTTGCTAAGTTCTTGCTTCATCCTTGCTGATCTAACTATGTCAGCCAATTTGCTTAGTTCTTCTAAGCGCAGTAGGTCTAGTTTCAGGGGGAATGTCAGCCAATTTACTTAGCTCGAATTGAGGCAGAGTGTTGATTGTATTGCTTAAAGAAGTAAACAGGACCAGAGTGCAAGTTTATAAACATGAGGGTTGCGTTTGCAAAAGAACAGTTGTAAACTCATCAGAAACGATGACGTTTCAAGAGTGTTAAGTGTTTGTATAAAAGCTCAGTTGTAACTTTACTAATTCAGTTAAGTAAAAATGAAAACAGAATTCGTTTCTCTTTGAAACAGAATCCAGATTCAATCTTGCGTTGTTTCTTGATTGATTTTGCTAAGTTCTTGCTTCATCCTTGCTGATCTAACTTGGTATCATAGCAAGTGACTCACGTCAATGGCGAACGTTTCTGGTTCCTCTTCACAGTCACTCAAAAGCATTGAAGAAATGCTGCGGGAATCTTCAAGCCGCACCACCTCAACTCTGGCGTCAAATCTACAAGTGATAAACCCTAAGCTTACTCGGAACAATTATCATTTCTGGAGTTCACAGGTCTTGTTCGCGGTTGGTTCACACGAACTTGAGCATCACTTACTTGGTAAAGTTCCCTGTCCTCCTCCTTTTATACTGTCTGATTCTGTAAATGAGAAAGAATTAGAACAGGGTCATGGAGAACCTAAGATATTAGTGACTCTGTTAGTGATAAGATTAATCCTGCTTATATCATGTGGAAACGTACAGACAAATTTCTTGTGAGTTGGTTATTAGCATCCATTCCTGAGAACATGTTTGGAAATGTTTCTAAGTGTAAATTTTCCACCGAGATATGGTATACCTTAGAAAATGAGTTTGTTAATGATTCAAAAGCCAGAGCACTTCATTTAAAGAATCTCTTACAGACAACTCAGAAATATAATATAGGAATTGCAGAACACATAAAGAAGATGAAAGAAATTGCAGAAAGCCTCTCTGCCAGTGGGTTAGTTATATCAGATGAAGAATTATTGCAGTATGTACTTGATGGTTTAGGCCCAGAATATGATGCAGTTGTAGTTAATCTCACATCTAGGCTTGAATCAAAGGTGGATAATGTAACATTGCAGGAGGCGTAATTTCTATTACAAAAGTTTGAGATTAGACTTGACAAGTTCAATTCAGTTGATTCATACAGTAGCTCTGCCAATCTAGCTTCAGTTAATACTTCAGTCAATCCTTCTGGATTTAATACAGAGAATAAGAATCCTAATGTTCTTCAACCAACTGGAGCAATTCAAACCTCACCTAACCCTTTTCCCAATACCATTCCCTCACTGAATTCACTAGGAAATCCACACTATTATCAAAACTATCCTGTACCTATCTCAGAAGCTTATGGAGCAGGGCATGGTGGTCAATCAAGTTACTATTCTAATGTTCCTTTGAATAGTACAAGACCAACTGGATTTCAGAGTTATGGGAGAGGTAGAGGACGAAATACTGGTAGAAATAAGATAATATGTCAAGTTTGTCATAAAGCTGGTCACTCAGCTGCTCAATGCTATCACAGGTTTAATACCTCATACACTGGAACTTATTATGGCAGCTACAATACTGGTGCACAGTCCACACAAATGCCTGTGAATCTGCAAATTGATTGATGCTTAACTTGTATGTCTGATTCCCGGCATTGTTGAATTTTTCAATGAATTCAAGATTTTGTTTGAAAATCTTAAACCGCTTTTCCTTCTCAGCCTGGTCCTCATAAGTGCGGCCATGCCGAGCCATCCATTGCTCATGTCTCTCGGCAATGGAAGCTTCATACAACGTGCGAGACATCGCAAGTGATGCCCAAATGCTCAATACCATTAACAAGGAAATAATGATATTTGTGTTTAGTGTTAAGGCCATGGTTAATACACAGATGGTGTAGGATATGTAACAGTGATATTTGCTGAATTGTAAGCTGTGAAGAAGAAAGACACTTGCTCCCTTAAATAGCACCTCAATCTGACGTGGATTTTATGAAGGGACCCATTTCTGGCATTTTCCACGAAAAAGTCTAGTGCCCTGGAAGAATGCTAGTGTGAAACTTTGAACCTTCTTCTAATTGGGTGGTTGGAACTGAGAAATATAGTAAGAGTTTCTGTGGTTGATGCAAGCTACCTCATACAAGGAAAATAACGACCTTTTTTTTGGGTTACAGTGTGCATCTTTTTATGATTAAAGTATGGTCTGATAATGAAAATATAGAAGTCGTTGATGAAATTTTTCTGCATTTTCCCTTTTGAAGAATTTACGCGTATAATTGCGTCATCAACATGAGATCATTTTATGAGTCTTCTCGGAGTCAACTTGGTGGTGGTTGTTGTTTTCTTCTTGTTTTCATGTGCTTCATAGCAACCTTTTTGTCCTCCGCAAGTTATTGCCAATTAAAACACTAGGTTTTGCCATTAACACGCCGCAAGTTTGGACTACGTACTCTTTTCCATGTTCATATGAAAAAAACCAGTTTCAGATTAAGGTTAGTTACTTCGTATTAATTTGCCAAATCGAAGAGGCGCATTAATTGGGGGTGCCAAATATTGTCCCTTCAGCTAGACCTGAAGCATGAAACATGAAAATAACTCGGAAAAAAACAAAGCCCCTGTTTGTTATATTATTCTGGATCACTGTTCTTTATCCTAATTGAATTAAAAAAAAAAAAAAAAAGATATATGTTTGTTTACTTATTGAGCTAATCCAATATGAAAATTAATCCAACTCAAATAAGATTTTTCGTTAAAAAATGAAAAGAGAGTGGGACTTGTTTTCACGTTATCTAATTGAAAACAATTTTCTTTCTCTTTCTTATTTTTCTCTTCTTCCAATCTGAAAAAAAATCCACTTAAGACCACCACCGTCTGTGAGCAACCATCATTATTGTCATCGACCGCCACCGTCGACTGACATGATTGGAATGGCGCACAACCAATTATATCTGACCGATCATGCGTCAATCGGATTGTTTTTGGCTAAATCTATGACCAGTTCCTGACCAATTAGTTTGTATTAATTTGCCAACCAATTAGTTTGTATTAATTTACCAAATCCTAGAGATGCATTAATTGGGGACACAAAATTTTGTCCCTACAGCTAGACCTGAAGCATGAAACATAAAAATAAGTCAAAAAAATAAAAATAAAAATCCTGGAAAGGGCATTCAATTTATGCCAGTAAAGGAGTCAACATTGTCAAAGTGTGGTTTGGTATGTTTGAGTTGTGAATCAACGCATCCACAATACTGTATTGCAAACTCTGAGTGAATGTCATGTGTTATGCAAAACCGAACGGTTTTTGGTTTTGTGCTTCCGATATAATGCCTTATGCTACTATGCACAACTAATTTATAAATCTTAGCACATCAAATACACAATTTTGTCTAGATATTGTGAATTGATATAAGGTTATATGTATCTAACCATGTTTAATAGAGAAATTTTAATTAGACCATTTAAATTATGTATTTTCCTCCAAAATTTAGGATGAGCTTAAAATTCAAAACGAACGAAATTAAATTATATATATTAAATGTTGGACTAAGGTCGAGTGGTTCGATAAAGACTCTTGAGTGTATTACTCAAGAGGTCTTCAGTTCGAGTCTCTCCTCGATTGCTAATAGAAATAGTCACTAGAGCTCTTACTCGATTGATAGTTCTAAAATCCCCAAAAATTAGTTGAGATGCGTATAAGCTAGTCTAAACACCCCGGTCATAAAAAAAAGTTTCAGAAGCTAACATTAATCAAATGCAAGAAAAAATTAAGAAATAATTGCCATGCAGAAATTAATATTTCGCTTTATAGTTGATTGACCACGTAAGTAACGAAAATTACCTTCAATGTGATGCTTCATAATTTTATACTAAATTGGAAAGTTTATTGGCAAGGGTGTAGCCAAAAAAAATTCTTAGTCTTTGGTTAGATTTTGGTTAAAAAAAATATATTAAAATATCAAGAATAAATTTTTTTTAGATAAACCTCAATGAAATAAGAAAGTTATTAACGTGATTTTGACACGAACGATCTCGCACATGTAAAGTGCTAAGAGGATCTTAGAAATTACACGTGATATGATTGTGAGAGTTGAGTATGGTGCACTAGTGATATATGTTTGAGAAAACATAAATAATAGATTGACAAAGTAGTTCGGATGCTTAAATCGAATCCTGCATCCACTGTTATTTTATTATTCTTTGACTATTTTTCTGATATTGTCTGTATTGGTTATATTATTGTTAAGTCTTGTATTAGTTACTCGTTTGTATTAGTTGATGCCAGCTGTATAACTATGGTTTGGTTAGTTGGTAACTGTGATTAGTAGAAGATTGATTAACATCTTGTTATATGGGTTGTAATAGTGCGAAATATTCAGTAATGAAAAAGGTAGAATACATTCCAAGAATCCTCTGTTCTTCATTTTATTTCATGGTATCAGAGCAAAATGATGAAGCCAACTCTTGTCCTCCCAATCAACCCGCTCTTTCTCCTCTTCACTTTTCTCCTTATTGACTTCATCATCTTCTGAATTTCTACCCAAGTTCTTCCTCAATGGAGAAATTACTGGTTTCCTTAATAAACTAGAACCGAGTGATTCTTGGATCCCAATTTTATCTCCATNATATATATTAAATGTTGGACTAAGGTCGAGTGGTTTGATAAAGAATCTTGGATGTATTACTCAAGAGATCTTCAGTTCGAGTCTCTCCTCAATTGCTGATAGAAATAGCCACTGGAGCTCTTACTCAATTAGTAGTTCTAAAATCCCAAAAAATTAGTTGAGGTGCTTATAAGCTAGTCAAAACACCCCGGTCATTAAAAAAAAAGTTTTAGAAGCTAACATTAATCAAATGCAAGAAAAAATTAAGAAATAATTGCCATACAGAAATTAATATTTCGCTTTATAGTTGATTAACCACATAAGTAACAAAAATTACCTTCAACGTGATGCTTCATAATTTTATACTAAATTGGAAAGTTTATTGGCAGGGTGTAGCCAAAAAAAATTCTTAGTCTTTGGTTAAAAAAAAAAATTAAAATATCAAGAAGAAATTTTTGTCAGATAAACCTCAATGAAATAAGAAAGTTATTAACGTGATTTTGACACTAACGATCTCGCACATGCAAAGTGCTAAGAGGATCTTATAAATTACACGTGATATGATTGTGAGAGTTGAGTATGGTGCTAAGAGGATCTTATAAATTACAAGAATTTAGGCTTTTCACAACAAAATAATTTGTCACTATAAATATATATTGGTCATCATATTGGTCACATTAAGCTCGTACTCTTTAGTGTATGGTGAAGAAAGAGTGTTTGGTCATCATAGCCTAATTATTTATTGTGACAATAATAATTTGTCATTGTAAACTAGTTTATTGTAATAAATTATTTGTAACAATAGAAGACAATTTTTATCACTATAAGTAATATTTTGTCACAATTGATTTACATTTAAAGATCAAATGATAAGCTTTATGATGAGAATATAATATATGATTACAAAATTGATTTTGTCAAAATTGTGACAATAATGACTAAATTATATTCTCATAATTTTAATAGTGACCAAAATTNAAAAAAAAAAATCCTGGAAAGGGCATTCAATTTATGCCAGTAAAGGAGTCAACATTGTCAAAGTGTGGTTTGGTAGTTTGAGTTGTGAATCAACGCATCCACAATATTGTATTGCAAACTCTAAGTGAATGTCATGTGTTATGCAAAACCGAACGGGCTTTTGTTTTGTGCTTCCGATATAATGCCTTAAGCTACTATGCACAACTAATTTATAAATCTTAGCACATCAAATACACAATTTTGTCTAGATATTGTGAATTGATATAAGGTTATATGTATATAACCATGTTTAATAGAGAAATTTTAATTAGACCATTTAAATTATGTATTTTCCTCCAAAATTTAGGATGAGCTTAAAATTCAAAACGAACGAAATTAAATTATATATATTAAATGTTGGACTATGGTCGAGTGGTTCGATAAAGACTATTGGGTGTATTACTCAAGAGGTCTTCAGTTCAAGTCTCTCCTCGATTGCTAATAAAAATAGCTACTAGAGCTCTTACTCGATTGGTAGCTCTAAAATTTCAAAAATTAGTTGAGATACATATACGCTAGTCTAAACACCCCGGTCATAAAAAAAAAGTTTCAGAAGCTAACATTAATCAAATGCAAGAAATAATTAAGAAATAATTGCCATGCAGAAATTAATATTTCGCTTTATAGTTGATTGACCACGTAAGTAACAAAAATTACCTTCAACGTGATGCTTCATAATTTTATACTAAATTGGAAAGTTTATTGGCAGGGGTGTAGCCAAAAAATATTCTTAGTCTTTGGTTAAATTTTGGTTAAAAAAAAATATTAAAATATCAAGAAGAAATGTTTTTCAGATAAACCTCAATGAAATAAGAAAGTTATTAACGTGATTTTGACACCAACGATCTCGCACATGCAAAGTACTAAGAGAATCTTAAAAATTACACATTATATGATTGTGAGAGTTGAGTATGGTGCACTAGTGATATATGTTTGAGAAAACATATATAATAGATTGACAAAGTGGTTCGGATGCTTAAAACGAATCCTACATCCACTGTTATTTTATTATTCTTTGACTATTTTTCTAATTTTGTCTGTATTGGTTATATTATTGTTGGTTAAGTCTTGTATTAGTTACATCGTTTGTATTAGTTGATGCCCGCTGTATAACTATGGTTTGGTTAGTTGGTAACTGTGATTAGTAGAAGATCGATTAACATCTTGTTATATGGGTTGTAATAGTGCGGAATATTCAGTAATGAAAAAGTAGAATACATTCCAAGAATCCTCTGTTCTTCATTTTATTTCATGGTATCAGAGCAAAATGATGAAGCCAACTCTTGTCCTCCCAATCAACCCACTCTTTCTCGTCTTCACTTTTCTCC